AGCCCTGAGAATGAAGAAATTACTGTTATTTTGCTGTGTATAATGCGCTCCCACGTTTTTAGCCCAAACTTTCAGGGAAACGGAATTAGTGCTACCCATGTATAATGCGCATCCTTATTTTTCCCCTCACAAATTTGGGCAAAAAAGTGTGCATTATACATGGCAAAATACGGTAGTAATAACTCGGTATGAAAATATAAAGAAAAATGTTCTGTGGGACTTCACTGCTGACAGTTCACTTCTCCATATATTTTAATTTTATATTTCTAAAAGGTCATTAAAATGAAAAAGTTTTCCATTTTGGAAGGCTGGGTAAACTCCTGCTGGACCAGTTCTCCAGAGACAGCAATTATAACCTTGAGACAAAATACAAAACCAGCTAGCTTCCTGAAGGCAACTGAAAGCAGGTGGGTTGTGGAGGACAGTCAGCCCCTGGCAGGAGGGACTGGCACTGGCTGAGTTCCCTGCTCTGTGTCTTAGCCGGAAGGCAAGGTCCTTGCTGGTGCTACACTGGCAGCTAACACTGACAGGAAACCTGCAGTCTTTCTGGCCTGAAGAACCAGAGGAGTGTGGGGGAGAGCCTGGAATGGACAGAGCCAGGGTAAGGGAGTCCTCAACTGGGTTTATTGACTTTTCTTAGATCTATAGTGAAATTCTGAACCACCTGTGAATGAAAGAGATTAAGTGAAATTTGAGCTGCTGCTCAAGAGACAGAATTTGAAATCTGAGTCTAACCAAGTTGATTGCCTGCTAAAACCACAATTCAACATTCTTTAGAGAAACAGAATGCAGTTTCTAAAACATTCACAATATTAAAGAGTTTAAAATTAGTTAATATATGAAGAAACAGGAAAATGTGACCTGTTCTCTAAGGTGAAAGACAATGGAGAATGACAGTAAGATGATCCATATGTTGTAATTAAGAGACAAGGTTTAATTTAAAAAAAATTTTTTTTAGCGGAGCCATCCTGCCACCTGTTGGCAGCTCAGTGGCTGCTCAGTTTGGGCCGGGAACTGAACCAGCTGTTGCTCAGAGCTCAAGCGAGTTCTTAACCAAGTGAGCCACTCGGCCGACCCAAGAGACAATGTTTTAAAAGCAGTTATCACAACTATCCTCAATGAAATAATGGAAAATATGCTTACAATGAAAAGATAAGAAATCTCAGTAGAGAAATACCAACTATATAAAAAAACTCAAATGAAAATTTCATAATTGGTAAATACTATTCAAACAGGAGAAGGGGGATAACAGAGTAAAGACTTAGTGAATCTGAGGACAGAGCAACTTAAATTGTACACTCTAATGAACAGAATATTCAGGGATCTGTGGGACAATATAAAAAGTGGAACATATATTTAAATAGAGTCCCAAAAGGGGAAGAAAGAGAAAATTGGGCATAAAATATTTGAAGAAATAACAGCTGAAAAATCCCTAAATTTGGTGCTGAAAAATCCCTAAATTTGGTGAAGGTACATAAACTTATAGATTCTGGAAGCGTAGTGATCCCCAAACAATAATACACAAAAAGTCACACAAGATAGATAATATTTAAACTGCTGGAAATCAAAGATAAAGACAAAATTTGAAAGCAGCCGAAGAGAAATTACATATTACACATAAAGTTACATCAATCTGAATGATTGCTGACTTCCTATCAGAAAGAAGATTGTAGAATAATCTTTAAAAGTATTGAAAAACTGTCAATTCAGAATTCTTTATCCAGCAAAGTCATCATTTAAGAATAAAGGTGAAATAAGGACATTTCATATAAAAGAGAATTAAGGGAATTCACTGTTAGCATACCTGAGCTACACTGAATACTAAGAAAAGGATTTCAGTCAACAGATAAAAACGAGAACCTATTCTAAGTAGGGATGGAGTAGTACTGGGAAATCACATCTGTGTAAATGCAAAAGATGTCATTTCTTTATATTTGAAGAACAAATGATATCATCCACTGTCTTATGAGGTTAATTATGTACACAGATATAAAACATGATAATCAGCATAAATGCTTAGAGAATAGGTCTATACAGTTGAAGGTTTTTGCATTTAATTCAAGTGACATAACATTAATTCTAGTCTACAAACAGTTAAAGATGTATATATATTGTGATCTATACAGGAACTGCTAAATAAATAATGCAGAGATATAGCTAAGTATTAAGGGAAAAATGTACTGATATCTATAATTTACTTAAAAAAAGTTGGAATGATGAAAAGAATGAACAATGGGTAGATGGGTAGGTATCTTATAAAGTACAGTGAAATGTTAACAGGAGTGTACACGTGTTCATTGCAAATTTTCAACTTTTCTGTGTATCTGAAATTCTCACAATACCATTAGGCCACTACATGGTGGTAAAAAAAATACAAGAACCACATAATGGGGGTGAAAGTTGTGCTGGAAAATGATACTAGGAACAGTTGCTGTAAATGAGTACAAGGTGGTTATGATTTTGGTGGCAGCCAAGGCAAAGGTGAGAGGACATTACCGGTCTGCCTACTGAGCATCCCAGGTAGATGGGCCTTCAAAGAGCTAAAGTTAATGTGATTAATGTAGTTACTGAGAACACTGGGGGGAAACAATACTAAGGTAGAGACTGTACACCTCAGATACTGCTGTCATTAACTTTCAAGGTGAATGTCATTCCACTGTGTCACCTGAGCACATCTGGTAGTAACCACCCATGAAAGTTACTTTATTTCTCAGCCGAATTTGTGATATGCTTGACATAGTCAGGAATGTGACAGCATGTTTAGAAGTTAGGAAATGCTGAACTGAATTTTGCTTAATTACATACATTACTTGAATTTTACTTACTTTTACTATCTATCTATCAATCAATCTATCATCTATCTATCAATCTATCATCTATCTATCTACCTACCTACCTACCTACCTACCTACCTACCTACCTACCTACCTACCTATCTATTTAGCTGAGCCATCCTGCCATCTGTTGGCAGCTCAGCTTGGGCCAGAACTCGAACTGCTGCTGCCCAGAGCTTGCACTCTTGAGTGAGCTCTTAACCAACTGAGCCACTCGGCCGGCCCACATACTTGAAGTTTAAATTTTCTGAACTTACCTTTTCATGGACTTGGGATATTAAATGTTACTTATCATAGCTTTATTTATAGTTGTCCATGCAAAACCTTACATTCTTATAGCTCTATGGTTTTAGCTGGTTCAGATGAATATAAATAGTTCTCTTGCTCTCTTTTGAAAAATATCAACAGCAACTTAGGGTATGTGAACAGAACCAAACTAAAAAGGTACCATACCTGTTTTATGAACTGTGTAGCATTAAAAAGTTCACTGCAGCCATATAAAATGTGTTTGCCTTGTTTCCCCTGTAAAAAATCAGAGCCAGAACTCAGATATAAGTAAGTAACAAGTAATATTTTCAATATTCCCAAGAAGAGGGATTAAAGCTAATAAGACTTTTTGTTATTCTTAAAGGGTATTTTTTGGGTGGGTGGGTCGGGGGGGGTTGTTGGATTTTAGTGTACACATGTGTATCCTGAAACTGCATGGAATGAAGTGAAGTAGCATAATATTTAAAAACATACGTATTATGGTACGCTGCTGGTGTCTTTTATACTGAAAACATAAGGACTCCTATGAGTGCCACATTTCATTGGAGCAACAATTATCTATAAAATCTTAGGCGAACATTCTTGCAATGGAGGACCTGGAATTCCATGAAGAAAACATTCTTAGAGTTCTGTTACGTAGAAAGCAAGATATGGTGCCAGTAGCATGGATTGTCATTTTAGTTTAATTTGTGCAATACGGTATTTTCATGTTAATATAACCCCTTCCATTTTGTAACTCTATGAATTTCATCCCTAATTTTGACAGAATGTTGGAGCCCAGTTACAGCAGTCAAAACTTTTCTACTGGAGAATTTTGGTAAGTCCTTAATGCTGAAATGTATTGTGAACTTGAAGGTAAATTTGTAAGATTTCTTTTGTAATGTAAAAAGATTATTCCATCACAAGGCAATTATGGTAATTCATCAAGGAACAAAAGAATTATAGTTTTGTAATACAAGAGAAGGACATTTCTCTGTGATGTACATAAGCTGAATAAATGTCCTAGAGCTCGCCATTTCTGAGAGCAAATAAACCAGTCGCATCTCACTCCGTTTTTCTCCAAACGAGATGGCACGTGCGGCAGTTATGCAGGGTCATATAACTGGGATGCTTGAGGCTACACAGGATATACTCACATAGGCACTAACAACAGTAGGGGTCACAGCATGTAAGGATAAAGAAAACACAGGGAACATTCGAGGGCTCCACAACTTCTAGGCATGCTCCCTGGTATGCCATCTCTGTAGCTCAGGACACATTTCATTTTCAACCGTGAACGACCAAGATGCAGTGGAGACACCTTGGTGGCAGGGGAGCTCCAAGGAGGATCCTTTTAAACCTCTATGATCACATGGACAAAATCAGGACCAGGCTTAATAGTAGCAAGAGGACAATGTGACGGAAACCAGGTGCAAACCATTAGTCTCCACATTTCTTGTTCAACAATGCTGACAAGCTGGTGCAAGTTGCCCCCAGCCTACCTTGGACACTAGCACAGGACCAGATGGATCACTAGTTGGTCCATGTCATTCAGGGCTGGCCAAATGTCTTTATCTATTCACCCACTGATGGGCAATTAGGTTGTTTAGGTTGCTTCCATATTTTGGCTACTGTAAATGCTGCAGTGAACACAGGGATGCATATATCTTTTCAAGATAGTATATTAGTTTTCTTTGGATAAATACACAGACGTGGAACTACTGGGTTATATGGTGGCTTTATTTTTAATTTTTTGAGACACCTCCACCGTTTTCCATAGCAGCTGCACCAATTTGCAGTCTCACCAACAGCACACAAGGGTTCCCCTTTCTCCATATCCTCACCAACACTTGTTATTTCTTGTCATTTTGATAATCGCCATTCTGACAGGTGGGAGGTGATATCTCACTGTGGTTTTGATTTGCATTTCCCTGGTTATTAGTGATTTTGAGCATCTTTTCATGTACCTGTTGGCCATCTGTGTGTCTTTACAAGTTCTGAGGAAAGGAGCTATTGCAAACATGACACAATGACCACACCTCTAAATCTGCCAGAGGAATCATGGAAGGGGCTGTTCCTCCTTTTCACTTAAGTGAGATGAGTGGTTTCTGCATTCTTTCTAACCAGTGGACAAGACAGTCCTGTGCGCTCACATTTATCCAACCTTCCTTCACATGACTGGGAATGGACGAAGGGGAAAGCCCTGGCCAGCCTCCTAGTGCCACCAGCTCTAGAAATCAGTCATCTTGCTGAATCTGATGGTCTTTAAACCAGGGGCCAAGTTCTGGGTAAAAATGAATGACAAATGAAAAGAAGTCTTGACTCTCAGAAAGGAGCCAATAAGTGAATAATACAAAAAGGGAACGCTAACATTATCTTGGTACCTTGTAAGAGGCTGAGAGCAAGAGAATACTCCTCTTAGCTATATTTACAGAGATGCCCTTAAGGCCTGCAGAAATCACCTCCTTTGGAGGTCGCCTCGATTTGAAGCTGAAGGTCGATTTACTCTGCAGTGATTCATGTGATATGTCTTGATGTTGCTAATAACATCTAAGGGATAAACACTTAGAATAATTTTAATGTTTCTCCTTCTTTTATAGGTTCTCATTTTGCAGGTTTTATATATTCTAAAGGATCCCTTTTGAGAGGCAAAATTAGGATACTGTTGCCACTCAAATGCATACAAAAGAATCTGTTCCACAACAGGGACCACCGTGTAACTATTGATCTACGTGGGGTCTGTTCAGAAAGATGGCCGGATGCAGGGACATTACAATAGCTGCTGTGTGCCTGACTAGTCACAGTTTGCACTGGAATGTTTGGTAAGCTGCACTGTTTCTTTAAAGTTATACCTGCACTGACGTCACTACACTGTACAAATGATTAGTATTCTGACATTTATCCTTATTTTTCTGTTCTATAAATGTAAAAAAGAAATGCAGAAAGGAGAATGCAGACAAGTGTAACTAAGAAAGCTGAACCAAGGATGGGGTGTGTGGAATATGTAAGTATGGGATTAATTTCAGCTGGTCTGTGGCAACCCTGTGTTTATTCCGGGAATGCTTGGAAGTAGTCATGTTGTTGGACCTTGGTGAAACCTGAATGAAACAGACCAATGAGTGCTTAATACAGTCCTGTGCATGGGTCACAGACAGACCAGGTGAAACTGGCACTAGCTTGTCAGCACTGTTTATAGAAATTGGACAGACTGACAGTTTGCACCTGGCCATGCAGCCTGATTCTGGCTATATGACCAGAGAGGGCTATGAAAGACCCCTCCTTGTGCAAGACGGATGCTCCCCGGTGTGAGGTATCTTACACAGATCTTGGTGGTTTACATTCTGAAGATGAAGCTAGTCCTGTGCCATAAAGACAGGATCCCGGGAGTTGTGCCTGGGAGGTTGAAGCTCTGTGGCATCTGCCTGTGTTTGTTTTTCTCTTGCTGTACCCAAATCTCTACCTTTATTAAAGCCTTACATGACACAGGACATAAGGAATGATCATTATTTCATGTTAAGTGAATACATGAAGATTACAAAATGTCTTTCTAAGAGTCACTAATTCTGTTGGCCCACCATTTTAAATGGCATTTTTGCTCTTCAGGTTACATCCTTTCCTTCACATCCTTCTGCTTAGCTGTCTATCACTCTCCACGTCTGTCAGCTTTGAATAGTACTCGCTGCTAACTTGCTACTTCTAAAGCTCTTGTTTGCTGAAAAAGCAGACACTCTAAATTTGTTAGAAGTATGTTGCTGACTTAAGCCAACAGAATGGGAGAAAAGTGATTATTGTTCAAGTAAATGTGTTTGGTAAATCATTGACCAAGGGAGACTCTTTTGGCAGAGAGGCTTACTTGAGGTCTCTCAAGTCAAATTAAGACAGATAGCTGCAAAGTACATAACCTTAATATGATACATTATTTTTCAGATCAAGTACAATTTCAGGCCAGAAATGAATGTGATAGAAATAAAAAAACAATGATCATATGGACATTTCCCCCTATAAGCAGGATTTTTAAACTACCTCTGGAAAAGGGATTATGTAAGAAGCAGGAGAGCCCCCAGAGAATGCTGGTATTCTAAAGACAGAACAACTGTGAAAAGTCAAATGATAAAAGAATAAAAGGGCCAAATGTACCTTTATGTAGTCAACAAGGTTTTGATATTCAATGTAGTTACCTCCTCCCACCACAAAAACAATTGCCTAAAAATGCAAACAGGAACAAAATAAGTATGTTAAAATAAATAGTTAAAACAGTATTTTAACTTTCAAGCATCATGGTTTTTAGGTTGGCGCATATTCCACAACTTAGGTGTAAAAAATACTAGCTAGCAAATGGTCACATCCTACGTGCCTGATGCTATTTCAATTATAAAGAAATTTGTTTCTAAAAAGTCTATAAATATATAAATTTCTATTGTCTATTGAGTGGTAAGTGAGGTAGAGATTTTTCAGCAACAATTTAGAGGAAAATAAACCTCATTATTCACATAAGAAATTTTAAATAATCCAAATGGCTTTCTCTAAATGGCATTTTTGAATCTGAGATATTTATTGTAGGTAGAAAAAACAGAAGACTGAAAGCTTAACATTTTATAATTTCCAATGTATGTTCTTTACTGTATTTTTATTGAGAAACTTCTTTGTATTTCAAGTAAAAACAGTCATCATATTTTCACAAAAGTTTGGAATCCAATTTTAGGAGTTCCATACATATAAAACTTTTGCTGCAATCTTACTTTTTTTCCTATGAATTACTTAATTTTGGGTCAGTTATTTTGAGCTTAAATGATTATCAATATAAGCAGCTTTATAAATTAGAAAAATACAGTTGCTAAGAATTTTTTTTTAAACAATCGAGTGCACAGAATTGGATTTATCAAGGTCGCCATACAGTTATCATAAAAAAGCCATGTTTAGGACAAAGAAATTCTTGACTGCTTGTTTACCTTTTCATCTTTTGTTTTCAGAGGCAGAAAATTTTTATATGGAACTTACCTCTTGGAATGGATTTTTGTTCCTTGGAACTGAGCTATAACAAAGAAAAACCATAATGAAACTTTCACCCAAGGCTTTTCTGATGGATAAAATAGGCACGGAACACAGACACACACACACTCTCTCTCTCTCTGGAATATGTATTTAACATTCTCCTTCCTTCACTCTTCGAGGGTAGGTCCTTCAGTTTTGTGTAGCCAGGTAATGAGTTGGGATGCAGAGGATGAAGATAGAAGAGGTGTATGTCGGATTGAGAGGGAGAAGGAAAGACTGAGCAGCAGCCCATAAGAAGTGGAAATGAGGGTATAAGGTGAGTTGATAAAGTATATATATTTTAGTGGTAAATTATGTAAAAGTTTTTATGATACTCAACATAATAATTTGTGCGTATTTACATTTGTGAAAAACTATGTAAACACATAAATGAGAAGGATAACAACAATTTAGGAAAGGGGGGGATGGCAGGAAGGACCTAGATTTTGCTTTAGCGTATTTCTTTATGTACTATGTCATTATATATTAATATTACATATATGACATATTTATTTATATATTTATAATTTATATATTAAAAAAATACTTCCTTGGTGTCCAAGGTCTTTTAGTAAAGACATTTCTCAAAGCTTTTGTGAGATAGATATATATTTGTTTTGAGTGCTAAAATAGGTTGTACAAAGACAACTTAGTTTTCCCTCAGAAGCAATTTTTAAAAATCTCACCCAAGAGAAGAAAGCTACTATAACCTCCCTTAATTATTCAGAGGCTGATTCCATAGTTCTATTATCTTTCCCTCCTTTCTATGGCCTGTCTGAATATTCCACAGAAGGGACCAGAAACCCACCTGCTAGAAATACATCATCAGTATTTAACTTTCTTCTAGATTGCTTTAAGTTCCTCTAAGAGTAGACATGGAAATGAAGACAGGTGAGACTTAAATAGCACAGTTATTAATAACCAAGATCTACTTGTAATGAGATAGCTCAGAAGGATGAATCTATTAAAAATGAAACTCTGAGCTCCTCTGTATTATCAATGCTAATATTCTTCCTCGTTATCATACATCATTATCATACATAAACTACAAGTAGGATTAAAAGAGTTCCTCAGTAAGTTTCTTCTTAGAAACATATATCTATTTGTTAGCCATATGCAAATGGTAAGGAAGGAAGGAAGAAAATGTAAGCTGCAGAATAACAAGATAGGAAAAGAGTTGTAAAACCCACTGTTTTAAAAAGTACATACACCCAGTGGTTTTTAGTATATTTACAGAGTTGTAAAACCATCGCCAGTGTCTAATTCCAGAACATTTTTATCATCCCCAAAAGAAGCCCCACACCCACTGGAGTTGTTACTCCTCATTCTTTCTATAATTTATTCTTTATCAAATTCCCTTTTGCCAGCTGCAGCTGCTATGAGCACCTTCTTCCGCAACTTTGGTAGTATTTCCAGTAATAACCTTTTAAGTTATCGAAACAATCTAATAATCGACTACCTAGTGATTAGAGTATCGATCCTGACTACCTACAAAAATGTGAAAGCCTGGGTTAAGCAAAGACAAAGTTCAAAAGGTCCCAAATGTAAGGTAGAGGCAAGAAACCAGCTTTACCCAACCAATCATTTCAAGAAGGGTTTTTCCTCAAATTTCTGCCTATTCTTTCTCTGTATCTTGTAGGCTATTTTTCAAACCATCATTAATTAAATCTTCAAAAATAATATCCATAATAAACAAATACCTTACCACACCATTTTTATCATAAAATATAAATTATTTGTAGAATGTTTCATTGCCATAAAGAAGTATTTATAGCGATCCACAGCAGCTTTAATTATATGGATCACTTAAGTAAAAAAGAAAAACAACAAAATAACTGGTATCTAACATAAAGGTCCCATCTTTTCAGTTGGTCCAATAAGAATATTTATTTTAAAACACACATAATCCAAATTCTCATCTCCCACAGATAGTTTCTAATACTGCCATCATTTCATTAAAAACAAAACAAATACCATTTAAAGTTTTTTTGTGTGTATATACTTGGAAGAAAAAATGCCAAAATGTTAAGTATAATTACCAGTGATTATCTCTGGGTAATGAGATTATACATAGAGTTTACTTACCAGTTTTCTATATAGTTAATTTTTTTAGTAATAAGCAGTTATTTATTTGTAATAAAAATCTATTAAGTTATTTATTCTTGGCAGGGGTGGAGAAGTTTACAACAAATTACACAAGAGTTGCTTACCTGTCATTGCCCCGCAGCATTTTGGGATCAAAATATCTATAGTCATCAGTTTCCTATTAAACAAATAGAATTTTACCATGATTATGGAGTTTCTCTTTAGAAAATTACAGTTTGGCTTTGAGTAATTTATTTTAATGACCAATTAATTTGGTAGAATGTTTTACCACCATCATTTACTGAGCACTTATGTGTTAAGCATTATTCTAAGTGCGTTAGATGAAACTACTTAATCCCCATAACATCTATGAAGTAGTTACGGTATTATTATTATCCCTATTTTTCAGATGGGCAATCTGGGGTATAGAGAGGTTATATAACTTTCCTAAGGTCACATGACTAGTAAGTATGTTAATTCCAGGATTTGAGCCCCAATAGTGTGGTTTTAATGCCCCACCTCTTCACCACTATGCTACACTGCGTCTTGAAAATATATATTTTATAAGCTAATGTACTTAAGTATTTTTGGTTTTAGAATTTTATTATATCTTTATATGTCCACGATTTTATTGAAAATACAGAATACCTAATACAGGTTCACAATCTATTTGAAATGTTTGCAGTTAGATGTAGTTTGGAATTGTGAATTAAAAAAAAATTTAGATATCATGCATAAACCGTATGTAATGTACACTCCCAGTGGGCAGCACCCCATCAGCTAACACATTAATATTTCTGTGCCTGAATATTAAATAAGGTAGGATAAATAAAAACTATAAAGAGCCTCAACTTGAGTTAAGGTTAGGTTTTGCCACCAAATAAGTTATAACAAATCTTTTAGTTTTCAGAACTTTTTAGATTTCAGAAGTGGTAGAGAGGGGGTTTTGGACCTCTATTCTAAATTGGAAACTAGCTCATTCATATTAAAGGAGTTCGAAAGTACTGCTTTCCTGCTTATGATGTAATCACTTCCTAATCTCTGCTTCCCTTCCATCCATCACAGAAACTCATTCTTTTCTGGAGTGTGGATGGCCCGCCCCAAACCTGACTGATGACGAACTCCACAAGTTGCCACTATCTATCTAGTCCTGTGCTCAGTGGTGGACAGTGCTAATCAATCATGGAACCCAAATGTAGTGTCAGAATCCCTTAACACTTTACTCCAGGAGAACACTACGGGCTAGATTTACCAGGCAAGATAAAATTTATCTGATACCTCCTTAATCCCTTTCTTTCAATTTGTTCAATCAAGACAAATCAAAGGAGAACATTTAATTAATAAATGTAAATGATAAGAATGCACCTAGAATTAGTTTACAGCGTTTTTGCCTTTAAGATACATTTCAAGATTACCAGCCAGGTCTAATTTAGTACACTTTGCTAATTTTGTCAATGCCTCTAAATCAATTTATCTATCTGCAAACAGGAAAGAGACCAGAGAGAGTGTAAGTAGCTGCTTCATCCAGTAGATAGATGCAAAAATGCTTCCAAAGCAGAAAAAATTTACTTTTTCTCATTGATTAACACATATCGTCTGTAGTAATGTTCCTTCAGTTATAAAGTGAATGTCAACAGAACTGACAAATGAACTTATGCAACTTGGAGAAACATCGGAGTAAGACCTACAATTTAGCAAATCCCTGTGTCCGAGAGACAGCATGTGTGTGGGATGAGCAGTAGGCAGGGATACAGAAGTAGCAGGGTTTGGGTTCCGATTCTGCTACTAATAATAGTGTGACGGGAAAAGTCACTTAACATCTCTTGGTTTCCTCTACTCCATTGTTAAAATTACTTGTAAACTCTAAAGTTCTGTGATTCCATGAAGGTCATGGTTCTTGCCCTCATCAGTACAGCACAATGGTGAAAAATGTGGCCTGCCCAGTTCTGACATTGATTAGCTGTGTCCTTGGGCAAATTAACTGACCTCATTGTGCCACAGTTTTTTTCATCTATACAATGAGAATAATAAAATAGTATTTTTTCTTAGAAAATTCTAATAAGGCTTAGATGAAATAGTATGTAAAAAATGCTTTGTACGGTTCCTGGCACCTTAAGTATGCAGTAAATGTTAGCCATTAGCATTTTTGCCATTTTCATCATCTCAACTTCAAGACTGGGACAGCAACAAAATACACCAAACTTCCTTAACCCCCTGTAGATATGGCATCTGTCTAAAATTTTGCACTTATTTATACTTTTATTCTTTATTATTGTTTGGGATAATATCTTCCAGCTATTTACTACTTATTATGAAGTAGTAGTCTATAAGATAATTAGTCATAAATATATACTTCTTGCAGGCTTTTCAAGCGAGCTCCTCCTCCATCGAGTCTAGGATGCATTACCAAAGTCTATTATTACTACATTGTATTACTACACTGTATATACCAACCACTTTCTCTCTATCGATTCCCAGGCAGAAGAATCCAATTCTTTTTAGCTTATTATTGCAGACAATTTTCTCATTCCTTTCATAACTGTAGCTGCCCCTTTTGGGGATCTTTTATTACATATATCTTTGTTTTCACATGGGCAGATTTTAAAATTGCTTTTGTTAATTTCATTATAATCATGTTTCAACAAACAAAAAATGACACAATCTGAAGATTCTGCTCTCACTCCTTCTCAACCTGGGATCTTAAGCCTCGCTGCCAAGTCTGTAATGATCCACATCAACCCAAACTGGGGTTTTGCTGGGAACAGGATCATGCAGCTTTCTCGATTCCAGACTCCTGACGATACCCACGCTCCTGTTGCCACAGCAACAAGCTGGGCTGTCTTATGAAACAGATTGTGATAATTTTTACACTCCTTTCTTGAATTGCAAACATAGTTTGGAAGCCCATTCCTTAAGTAAATGCTAACAATATTTACTCATTTGTCTATTTACCCAACAATTTATCTCTCACAACTTATTTTCAACTTGAAAGAATTGTCACCTGACCAAATGCACTTAAAAATTGCATTATGCGCTCCTCTCCTAATTTAATTTTCAGAAAACTAAATTGGTCTGGTACTCTTATACCAGCTGATGCTTAGTTACTAGTCTTATTCATTTACAGAAACTTGCTCCTCAGGGTACATTTTACATTTAATTATACATATAGAATATAATCTACACTTAATTTGTATGAGAGCTGGCCAGAGTGGTTCCAGCAGCTGAGAAAACCAATTCCCATTATCTGTGATAATGGCTAAAAATTGCTCTTTGAGAACATGGACTCTCTCCTTTCCTTCTCGTAGTCTGCTGTGATTACGCCCACAACAATCTCCGATTTCATCGCCTTTCATACAGTACGATAGGTTTAAGAATTTACAAATATTATACAATGTTACATGCTACTCACAGGGTTTGACTTCATCTCCATGAGATTGTCTAAAATACGAGTAACAGGTAGATTCTGTGGAAGAGATGAGTATTTGGTTAAATTATCAGAATAACAAACTAAGTTCTCTATTATCAAAACAACCTAGTCATTCTACAGTTAAGTATGCTTACCTCTCAAACACATTTTAAGATTAAGTATTCTGTGAATGGTGTCATAGAGGTAAATACCCTTGGTACTCACTACTCAAGTTTCCACAGAAAAATACAATTCTAAATCAAAAGGTCCTTTCAATATGTGGGTGTATCCAGGTTTTAGTACAAATACATGTTTCAGTTTTTTATTTTGTTGTATATGTGCTTTTTAATACTAGTAATTGCAAGTTTTTGTTTTGATCACCTAAGATTCCCATTGTCATTTTTCTTCCATTTCCTGAGAATTGTAAGTTTCTTTAAAAACAGAGTAACTTAAAGTTTGTGAAAATGTATGAGATTAAATGACCTAACAAGAGTTCTTTCATTTCTAATGCATATTCTTCTAAGCGAAAAAGATACTTGTGCTCTTTAAAAAGTGGGAAATGAATACATACAAACTTTAATGACCATTTTTATTTTGCCTGGGATAAATTCTAAATTTTCAGTGACAGACTGCACTGTCTTCTTACAGAACAAATTCCACTCTGAACACGAAATGTGTAACACTGGTGTTGGCAGAAGACTGCCTTCTGACATGCTTACACACCTTGGGAGAGGAAATACTATTGTTACACTTCAGTCTGATGGTTATCATTATTTTGAAAATAACACATGGAGTACAGAAATTTTACTACATGACTACTCGTATTATACCTATTCCAAGTGCATTCCTACTGGGATGGTATTCTGCCCACTTTGAACTGATATTTCCTTTGTGAACTGTACGAGATGTTCTGGAAAAAATAGTTTTGTATCTTAGAGGCTTCATACAACAAAGGCGACATTAAATCTGATTATTTAAATAACTTAGATAACACATTACTATTTAAAAAAGAAGTTTTACTTTCCTTAGGTCATAGGACATTTTACTGTTATTAAAATGGACTATCACAAAGGAAAATGCTGCTTTTACACATTTCTTTCTTTGTCTAGATTGGCAAGTAAAAACTTTTAAGATGATCTGAGGAAAGTAAAATTAAAGCTGTTTCATTATTCTGATATTTGTGTTGGCTAGGAAATTTTTAATATAAACACAAGCACCAAATGTTCAAGTTGACTGAATGTACTTCCTGAATTCTATTTAAAATTTAAAAAAAAAGTGTCCAAAATTTTACCTTTTAAGCTTTGTTTCAAATAAAATTGAGTTTTTCATATGTCTAAATCATGACTTTCTCTAAAGAATAATGGTACAGACTTAAATCTATGAAAGTGCTTTATCCAAAATAAAAAACTAGTTATATTTTTGTTCCAAGCAACACTAACAGAAGATGATGAAGTACTTTACAACATAACAGGGGGAAATAATAAAAAGAAATCTGGGTCAAGGCAACATTATAAATGATAAGATTTTACTAAAATTAATTTTATAGTCATTTCTCCATTTATATATAACTCTTTTAGCTCCCTAAATTGTACTATTAGATCTGTGCAATGCAGAAAAATTCAGAAAAGATTTTATAATGATAAAGCCTTAAGGGTCATATTACTTTTATTACATTTGTGAAAATAATTGGAAATTTGAATACTTATATCAACATCTCAGGATACATCTTCATTTAGTATAAAAATAAGATTTTTCTAAAAGATACAATTAAATTTTGCTTTGTATTTTATAGCTCAGCTGTATCTGAAGGCACACCTGCCAGTGAACAGGTCATTAATGAACCTAAGAAAAATTTCTTTCTAGCAGAATAGTTAAAAAGCTCAAGAGCCCAGAGACAATTCTTCATGTTTTTGTCTTGTCTTTACAACCAGATGACACCACAAGAATCATCTATCACTGCCCCACCATACAGTATTCACACACTGTAAAAGATTAAGGAAAACTTCAAGTGTAGAGAATGATAAAGGAAATACTATCTTTGAAGGTATAAGAGAGAGTTCTTCAGAAATCAGCTTCTGAGCTCGCTGTCACCAACTAATGTTCTACCTAGTTTTTGTTCTTTGCCGAAATGACAGCTTGAATTGAGTTAATCATTTTAAAGCCAATTTTACGTTAACAGTAATTTATATACAAGATTAACAAACTTTTAATTGATTGAAAAAATTGAACCCTGGCAGGTAACACACCAGTGAGAAAACATCAGAAGAAAACCACACAATTTTCTTCAATAAATACAACTTATCTGTAGAAACACAAAAAAAATTGTGTACCTTAATAAAAGAAGTGTAAATAAAATTTTAATCAAATGAAAAACCCATTGTTTAAAAAATTCCCAAGCATATTTTTTATTGTTTTTGGAAACTGTTGTTTGGTTAGTAACTAAATTTTTATTAGAAAGCCTCTATAAATATATAGATTTGGGAGACAAAGTCTCATATCTATGAATATCCTAAAATAAGGATCACTATTTCTAAAATCTTCAAATTTCAAATACATGAACTAGAAACTTTTCCTGGAACAAAAAATATGAGAAATCTATTTCTAAAAACCCTTACTGGTTTTATGACCACAGTCACGTTTGGCGATTTTAGTCACTAGAAAAATTTAACAATGTTAATTTTGTCGCAAAAAAAAAAATTGAAAAAATATGCACAGAAATTAAAAAACAATCTCTGAAAAGTATCCCAGTCCTATACCCAAAAGAGTTAAAAATTATTTCCCCCTCTAGTTCCCCTGGGATTAGCCACTTGCTCTATACTGCTGTGGGGTCTAAGGTGACTATTTCTAACTCTCCCCTTGCAGCCTTGGGATGGTAGTCAGATGAAGTCACAGTGAGGTTGGGACAGGAGTTGCTGCTGTCCTGATTATCAGAGCCCGGAAGAATAAAGCCGTATATGGGCCTCCTTGAAAAGAATGCTTATCTTTAAGACTGTATTAGCAAGTAAAGAATAAGATCAAGTGTGCGATGCTGGAAATATATTGGAACTGAGGGGATGTACCACTGATAGAAGGGTGGAAAGTTGTCAGTGAAGTGAAGATAGGAGGAGGGGGAATAAGATGGATCATCTATTTCCAAAATTTTAAAATTATAAATCAGAAATGAATCTACAGATGAATCCCAATACCCACAGCAAAATCCACAGTTGAGGAAATAAAAAAATATATAAAGTGGTACTTTTTCTAAAATAGCATGTTAATAAGAAAACAGATTATATAAACCCAATAAAACACGTTTGATCCTCCATCACCTAGCTTCAATAATTATCAACTTCTGGCAAATCTTATTTCATCTATATTCTCACCTACTCCCCAGTTTCCTAGGTTGTTTTAAAACAAGCTCCCAATATCAAATTATTTTAGCTCTAAATATTTCAGTACTTACCTCCGAGATATAAGAACTCTTAAAAAACAAACTATGGCAATAGTTTAACAATAATTTCTTAATACAGCTCAATACCCAGTCAGTGTTAAAATTTTCCTGTTGCATCAATTTATTCTTCACAGTTTTCCTGTTTAAATTATAATCTTAATAGGGGCCATATATTGCAATTAGATGATAGGTCTTTTAAGTCTTCTTAAATCTACTGAATTCCACTGTTTGCAATTTACTTGTTATTATTTCATTTTAAAAGAGGGATTATTTTAGCAAACAAACAAAAGAAAGTGCAATAGAAGACTGTTAAATTATGCAACTTTGTGCTACATTATTCATCATCACATTCTTGTACAATTGTCCTAAAATCTGTGAATATCGTTCAAATGGTTTTGTGACAGCTGATACTTGTGATGCATAAAACTTATGCTGCCCAAGAAACAAAGCATAAAAAGCTCTTAATAAGTGACCTAGAAAACTGGACATGACAAGACATCCTATTCTTTCTATTTTATTTATAGCTTCAACTGTTTATTCAGATAAAATAATCCAAAACAATATTTAGAGATTTAAGATGCATAAATTACTCAGAATTTTGTTAAGTGTGAAGCAGAATTCATCTCTAGCAGTCTCTTCTCTGACATCTCTTTCCTCTTATTTCCCAAACTGCCCCAGATCTCCCATCACAATACCTCAAAATTTTAGAACACTAGGACAATGTTACTTTTAAAATAGATTTCTATTAGTTTAAATATTTCTAGAGCAAGAGACTCTTTTTTAAGTACTGAATTGACAAAGATTACAATCAGATGTGTTGAAATTTGAGACGATGTAGAGAAGCAAGCACTATTACTGCAAATTGGTACAACTTTTCTGGTAATATTTGGTAATATTTATTAGAAACAATTAGAAATGTTCACTCTTTTGATTCCATAATTCAATCCTAGGCATTTATCATATGGAAGTAATCAGAGAGGAATACTCACCCAGAAAAAAAACTTAACAGTTAAAACTCATGTGTATATCCTTCGGTTATTTTTTTCTTTTTTTGAAACAACAAAAGATCATCTTGGATGACTTATTTTTGCTTTACAATGCAAAACAACACCCCCCCCCCAAATCAATAAATATTTCCTCTAATTTGAACCTAAGAAGTCTTATTAACATCCAGTTTTTAAAAAATGGCATGGCTTTTCTAGTTGTGGTGGCATAAATGTATAGAGATAACAACCAATCATTTCAAATTTTACTTTTGTAAGTGAGAAACTGCCTATATCAAAGCAGTTTGTTATTTGTGATGTTAAGAAAAACAAAAGGGGGGACTGGTCGAGTGGCTCAGTTGGTTAAGAGTTAGCTTAGGAGCACGAGCTCTGAGCAACAGGGCGGCTGGTTCAATTCCCACATGGGCCAGTGACACTGCGCCCGAGCTGAGCTGCCAACAGGTGGCAGGATGGCTCAGCTGGTGAGAGCATGTGCTCCTAACAACAAGACTGCCTGTTCAATGGTGGGCTATGCCCGCCCACAACTAAGACTGAACTCGGCACCTTGAGCTGAGCTGCCGT